TACACAATACATAAAAAACGTCTCAGGTTATGCATGTAACCATGGTTCCCAGAGAGGGAACAAGACGCTGCGTCCTCTAGCGGACACCATGGGGAATGCTGCCAGCATGACCGGTGTCTGAAGCACGTGTGAAACAATGCCAATCCTATTGGCCCGTAATGTCATAGGCGGTTGCCTGGAAGTGTAAAAGGGCACCTGTTGAATACGTCACCAACTTAGTTGTCTGTAGGAGATGTAAACAGGCAGGCCGAAGGCATGGCGAGGGGACGCAGCGTCTTGTTCCCTCTCGGGGAACCATGGTTACATACGTAAACCGAGACGTTCCCCTTCTAGGGAACTCACGCTGCGTCCACTAGCGGACACTATGGGGAATGAAATGCCAACTATGCCGTGCCGAGGTGCATGCCTATCCACCTGATGAGAGACCAAGGAGGTGACAGACATTCACCTAACCTTTCCTCAGAAAGGGGCCAAGCCACTGACGCCTCGGACCGCTTACATAACTTGGCAGAAATGGAGAACCCAATTCAGATAAAGGGGAAAATCCAAACCAAAGTTAAGAACACAGCTATCCTCAGATATCTATGCTATGTGAGCAATACTAGCCTGGATACACAAGATAGCAAGAGGCAAACTAGAAAACCTCTAGATAGGAGCTCAAAGAGATCGCTACTTAAAGCCCAAGTAAGGGGAGTAGCTGCTGAGCTAGAATACAGCTATCCTCAGATAGCTATATCCTAAGGGTCTTATGAAAGGCTTATAGACCAAGATAAACCATATACAGCTAGCCTCAGATAGCCAGGTAAGACCTTCCTTCAAAATTGCCCAGACCACAGAGAGTGGGCTATATGCTTACAACCCTAGCAGGGGAGATAACACGGTCTAGGCAAGGGTTCAAGGAGACCGCTACTTAAAAACCCTAGGCAGGGGAGCAATCACTGAGCTAGCGCATAGCTATCCTCAGATAGCTATGTACCTAGGAAGGGGCTACCAGAAGGGGGACCAACTGAAACTGCCCAGACCACAGAGAGTGGGCTGTCTACTTACAAACCTGAGAGGGGAGACAGCACTGATTAGGCCGAGGCTCAAGGAGAACGCTACTTAAAACCCTTGGCAGGGGAGCAATAATTGAGCTGGCAAATAGCTATCCTCAGATAGCTAGGCTCTAGAAAAAGGGAACCATTGCAATTGCCAAGACCACCAGCAGTGGGCTGTCTACTTAAAAACCCTATAAGGGGAGACGTTCCATCTCTTGTCATGGTGTGCTGTTAAAGTTGTACACATTGTGCCCTTTTTTGGGTAAATGCTTGGGGCCTGCAGCTCTGAGAACTAAAGAGTTGTCATTTATTAGGAAACAAAGGGTAAATGGTCTTTGGTCATTTATTAAGTTGAGATACAGATGAGTACAGATGGTACTCATCCAGAATAATACTTCTACCTTCAGAGTCCTTCAGGGAACGAGGGTTACCATACGTAACCGAGACATTCCCTTTCAGTCGGTCACTCCCAGTCACGTCGGTGACCGACGAATTGGGATATCGCTTCGATAGACCAATCTACTTCG